CTGTCAAGTATTGTCGACAATACCAAACAAACAGTCCTGCACGCAACGCTGTTACCATGCTAAATGTGACTGGCAGCTACTGGCTAGACACGCGTGTATTCGAGATACACACTCGTGGATTTTACTTAAGTTGAGGGAGACTGGTCTTACTGATCTGGTCATGAACAAGAAGTAATCACTAAAAGTACGCCTTCTTTAAAACTTGTTATTGAAATGTACTTCAAGAAATAAATTGGTCAAATTTGCTATTGATACGTCATCATTCCTCTAAGGAAGTCATGTTGTTATTTTCATTAATTTTGTACTTGAAGGACCAGAAAGGCTAGTAGCCTGACAAGCCACACCTAAACACGCAGGGAATAGATGCACACCTAGTGCTTATCTTCATACTCATAACAAATTTCAACAGGTTCAGTACAAGTTTCGATTGAAGCGACCTGCGTAAAAATACAATAATAATTTGTTTGTTTGTGTTTTTTAGTGTTAATGATTCGTTGTCTTTGAAAGTCTCATTCTTGGCATTTTTGTTCAGGGATTAACGACACCAAAGAAAAGTAAATACCTTTCTCTTACAGCATAAARCTGAAGCTGCGCACTGATTGAATGTTAAGAGGGTGAGGGAGAGTTGGAAGCTTCTCCTTCTCTCGGGCTTCCTGTCCCTCCCAAAGGCAGTAACTTCAAAGAGGGTCTCAATGGGGTGGTACGCATCACGATTCACGGCTAAAAATTTGGCGATTTCACGACTCACGACTAATTTTTTCTAATCACGGTTAACTAGATTACTTATAGAAATTTTTGAATTACGTTTTTCATTGCTTTTTCTTTTTTCGTATGAATAGACTGCATGCGTGACTTATTCGTACGTACATGGATTTTTCTATTTCAAATAAGCCGAAATGCGACTATTTCCACGAAAAAAATGATTAATCATCAATTCATAATACACAAAAAAATCCAAAAAGTATTAAACATAGCAGGTATTGAGAACATAGTAGTGACATTGCTGCAGTCCGTGTCTGACATCGGAGTTTACGAAATTTCATCGAGTGTCGCTTTTCGCGATGATGTATTCTATGCCGGGCTAAATGTGCATGGTAAAATCAGGAAGTTTGTAGCGTATTCATATTATTATTTGATCCTAAACAAAACTATAGTATTTTAAAATCGATATCTTAAATAATTACTTTAAAATGTTAGATATATACCATGTCCGTACGAATAGCAAACATAACTCGGACACTCTGTTTAAAAATTGTTCTCGGTTGCGCAATCGCCGCGCTGTGAAAACTTATTATACGTTTAACCACAAGCCAATGAAAGCGCGCTTTAAAACATCACATTATAGAAAATATATAGAAGTAATTACTAAATGATTCTGCAGATTTTGTAATTAAACATTAATGCATAGGAAGCTAATTCAAAGACAACAACAAAAAGCCAAAAAAAAAACAAAACAAGAAATATGAAAAAAGAAAAAACTCGTATTGGGATTCGAACCCATGACCATAAAATCGAAAAAGGTTGGGACGATTCCCCCGAGACATTCTGTGAAGCTGAGGCGGCGAATCGATTTACATTCCGGTTAGAGATTTCGGCTCTTCCATGCTATCCCGATAATTGGTCCTAACTTCGCGCTAACTAAAAAGCCAGTGAGGGAGAAGCTATCCGGCCCCTAGACACTGATGGATAACCCCTTGCACTAACTAGGCAACTATCGAAAGTATAATGTCAAATTGGGGTAGTCTATTCGGTGAAAGTGTCAAGTGGTCTATTATTATGTAAATGAGAGTGATCCAGTGACGCACCGCGTTAAGGCGCCGCTTGCAAATCCAATGTATGTTTGACGGAAGCGGGATCGATTCCCTGGAGGAGACGTTTAATGATTTTGTTTTTTCCTTTTTATTTTATTTATTGTTTATCTTCTTTTGTTATTTATTTATTTATTTATTTTTGCATAATAATTGTCATCTCTTGTGTTTCACTTTCCCGAGAACCGTCTTTTTTTACGAAGTGGATATATGATCGGCTCCCGCTCAAAGTCTTCGATGTACTAACATACTAAATGAGTGCTAATTTTGTTTTGGCAAAAAAATCTTTTATATCTTTATTAGCAATCTAAAAAAAGATGTCGATTCATATTATAAAGTTCTATTTCGAGCAGCTTTAGCTTCTTGTCGCACTTAGCGTGACGAAGGCTCCCGCTCAATTAAGGCCTTCGATGCACTAAATGAGCGGGAGTTTTAAAATGTACAAAACAAATCCCCCAAAAAATCTAAGAATTAAAAAATCTTTAATAACTTTATTAGCAATCTAAAAAAAAAGATGTCAATTCAATATTGTAACGTTCTATTTCGAGCAGCTTTAGCTTCTTGTCGCACTTAGCGTGACGCAGGCTCCCGCTCAATAAAGGTCTTCGATGCACTAAATGAGCTACTCTGCGAATAGAGCATTTACAAAAAAATTTACAAAAAAATAATTACAAGCGCGCGACTGCATCGGAGTTGACTGTCCTTCTGAGGGACAAAACTGAATCACGGCTCACGCTATAAAAATATATTCACGCCTTACGGCTAATTTTTTCGCATTTTCACGACTAACGGCTAATTTTTCAGACGTTTCACGGCTCACGGTTAACCCCATTGGGACCCTCTTCAAACAATAACAGCGTCAACTTCGAGATCATTGGACATCATTGGACAGCCTATAGTTAATAATTATTCACGGTATTCCGCGTTGTGTACAGTCAGTTACTATCTTCTTCTCTACTGAATATACACGACAGTTGTATACACGACGACACTTCAAAGATCAGGTATTTCAGAACGATAAGTTATCCGCGATAACGTTACACTTCAGATYACAAGCTATTTTCAAAGCTGAAATTGCTATGATTCTAGCTTTGGTATATGTATGAATCCCCAAAAAGATTTTTTTAAATATTAAAGAAWTGCTCAAACTATATAATCTGACTTTTTGCGATATAACGCAATTTTTTTTGGAAATCAATACTTTTCATTTTAGAATCATAGTTTGTAATTTGTCCAGGAGTTGTTTATTTGTCAATTTTAAGGATCCCTTTAATGATTCGAGTCTATCATCCTCTTTTTGTAGGTGKATGATGTATTCCCACGCCTTACGAAGTATTAGTATTTTTGGAGCTTTTTGAAGTTTTTCTACTTTTGGTATCACTCTTCGAAGACTTTCAAACCTTGTTTTCATTTGATCTCGTCTTTGCTTTTCTGTGTCGTTATGAAAGGCTTTTAATTGACATGTGTCATTCCATTCCTGTMGATTTTTGTGGCAGGCTATCTTTACTTCATGCTTATGTTGAAATCTGTCTTTAGGTGCAGATTCAAAGAAAATGGTATTCTGATTATTCCCACTGTCGTCAATTTCACATGGAATAGASACATTTTGTTGACSTGAGTCATGACTGGCTAATGCCGATTTACTGTTCCTCTGTTCATGAATCAGTGATGGACAGCTTGGCTCCTTTTTTGCAGTAAAACAGCTTTCTTGGGATAAATGTTTCAGAAAAGGCGGGAAAAACAAACCCGAGTGTTGCATGCTTTGAAAGGTGTTTTKCTGATAATTACCGGTATCCATCGCGTTAAAGKTCGCTGTCGAGTCTTTGKTAGATTTGCTGCGAATGTTGTCATGGTAAGAGATATGCTGTTCGCGTGAATTGTMGTCACCAACAAGCTGTTCAAAGTTTGCAAGACTAGTCAATGATGTGGTTTCGTTCGGAGGGAATAGAAAGACATCATTATCGCTGTTGTCGTCAAGTGTGCTATACAAGTCTTCTACTTTTGTTGGCGTTATCACACATGGTTTTAAGTAAACGTCTAAACTATCAGAGTCCGCAGAGAGTTTTCTTGTTCCYTTAAAATCTAACTTATTTATATGAACGTCAACTGCTTTGCTTGTWGCATGAGTCATGACATCTGRATGCCTTGAGCTGTGAAAAGMTCYTGTTKSCATCACATCTTCGTCAGCTTTTATCCACAATGGGTCAAATACATCGTTATTTGGAACGACTTGCAGATCCAAATACGCACGATTCACCGACTGCGCCATTTTGTTTTCGAAGAAGCTCGAATCGTGTCCTAATATCCATTCCATAGAACTTGGMTTGGTTAACTTACTTCTACTTGTCTCCATGRTTSAAGTTRTCTCAACAACACTCTGTTCTCAARCAAAAAATATCACAAAACCTAKTATTTTGCTGAATCTTCACTTTGCACTTGTTGTGAATGAAAGTAAATAATGTATCGGAGATAGCCAATCAACAACSAGTGAGTGGGACTTTAATGAGRTACRGCAATTGTAGTACAGTTTTCCCATTAGTGAACTCCAGAATATATTCAAAACGCCTATAAAACAACTGACAAACGGTAAATCATCTTTGTTAAATTAAGACTTAAGAAACAACAGAGCTGATAAAGAGAATGCTACAATTGTAGGCTAACGTTACATAGAATGAGGTCTTACACCTGTCATCCTCGTGATTGTCATGTTCAACCACCCGTCATGTTCAACAACACGTGGAGCTCCGTCATCAACAAGTCACTTTTACACAASTAAATYCTGGATTAAAGTYATTCACTAGAAAAGCTGACTTRTTTTCGGAATCCAGGTCTGGACAATGGAAAAACGAATTTAAAAAAAGGACTATATATTTTGAACTACTGTTCAAATGAATTTGGTCTATCTATATGGATACTTACAGTTCTTTTTCAACTATTAATTGCATTAAAATTTAAAATCTAGTATTCTGCCATTATTCAATCGCCATTGATATAGTATCTTAATGAAAAGGCAACCAGCTATCAAAGTTGAAAAACACAGTTTTGGTAAAAGTATCCGCGTGTCCACCTTCTATCTAGCTTCTCCACTTATAAAGTGATAGATATTTAACATGCCACTGCATTCATCTACATTGTTACTGTGAAGTTCAAAATACTAAAACTAAAAAACTATCTATGATAATCTCAGTCTGCCAAATAAGAAATGAGAAAGGATTCGTCCAATAACAGGTTGGCGAATCAATTATTTATTACTGGTATGTAATCATAGGCCTCATTGTTCACACATGGATCAGTATTATTAYTTTAKTATGGTTRGRATGCGAACTGTGTAGTTTACTATTCAGTGTTTCGTCAGACCATTTAAGGTGTTTCATACATGTTCGCACCTCCCCCAACATTTTTTAACGTACATTCTAATTCACTTCGTTCAAACGAATTTTTAAATTATTAAAATATCTTTTCCAAGATAGATGGTTGGTTCGCTGGGGAGCCAGACACTTACTTTATTAAATATAGTTATTTGATGGAATGCAATTATGAATAATCCTGAAGTATAGATCTACATTTATCAGTCAAGAGCTTTCGTAACTTTTAGCTTATTTTCAACTATTTCAAGTATATTACATATGTTTAGCAACATTGGATTTCCACTGAGCGTGCAACCTCATTTATAGGTCTCTCTACACTTCTCATTAGCATCAGAGGGACGTTAAAGAACCCACGCCACTATTCGACTAAGAGTAGGGCACGGAGTTACCGGTGGTGTGGCCAGGGCTCATCTCACCAGCATTGAGGTCGGCTTGGCGTAGTGTTCGTATAAAGGTTACTTAGTAGTCAATGAGACCTCATACTAATATACAGCTAGTAACCCAATGAACGTTGCCAAGTGCTGGAACTATGTAGATGTAGGTTCCTGTTATCGTTAGATTCCACAGGACTATACTGCGGAGGACATACATCTCAGAATCATTAGCCTAATAAAACCTAACAATCTTTGAAGACTTTGTAACATCTAGTATATGATAGACCTTACTTAAAATCTGTTTTTGATTTGCTTAAACCATGAAAAGAATTAATTTGCTTGAAATGGAACTGAGGGAATCCCCGATGATTCTGTATTCCTCTCTAAAAACTTAAGCGGACAGTACTAAGTGGAATATCGAACGATAAACACAGTGTTTCCTTTACGATAAACGTCTGTCTTGTTTTTACCGAATGTTCATTCTATTATAGAAAGTTAAATATATAGGCGTAATGTTGCTTAACTCATCATAAGATCAGTGAGAAACCAGCGTAACGTCTATGCCACACCAAGAAACGTTGGTTTAGCTCTACCGTACATATCAATTTTTTCTCAGATTATGCTCGTTAAAGGTTCTCTATTTTTGGATTGGAACTTTATTGGCACGCCTCGCAGATTCCACCAAATTTCTGAATATTCTGTTATCCAAGGGATTTATCACTATTCATTGGCTAGTTGTTACCGGATTTTCCCTCTGTAGAGAGCTCAAACAATTAAATATTGTGATTTTTCTTGCCTAAAATCGTCGTATTTTCGTACAGTGCTGTCGGCTTTATGATTGCTTTTTTGTCATTTGTCGGATGTCAGCACGAAAGTTCTTTTTCTAAATGTGCTTTCTGTGCAAGTGCAGAAAATTGTACAACTAGCTGTCTACATCCCCCAAGGGCGCGCGGAAACCCGAAGCCGAACACGTGCACAGCTCAGGAAAAACTCAGACTGTTTTTATTTCGAAGTTTTCAACCGGCGCCATTTTTGAAGCACGCTGCATGAAAAGATGCAAAGTCAAAGTGTTTCAAGCATTATAAAATGGAATCTTTGGTAAGTTCCACAATTTCCGTCGGTTCTTCTTACTTTATCAGTTTCGTAGCACTAGCTATTTTCATGTATAAAAAAAAAAATGATGAATAGATTAAGCTTATAAGCTTAGTAAAACTTATTAGTTCTTGTTTCCAAAGGGTCTTGGCAAATTACAAATACAATGGTGAAAGTTCCTTGGGGGATGTAGACAGTTGTACAATTTTCTGCACTCCCCTTAGTAGTCGGGGTTTTTTGAAGTGATTCCATGGAAACTGTCGTCCAAACAGAGGTAGTTTTGCAAGACGGTCAAAGTACGTGTCCAACAACGTCGATGAAGTGTTGACCGGATGCAAAAATTGAGTCCGAATAGCATGGAATAGCGTACAAACATGACGATTTGGCACGGTTGGATTTATAAACCGTTGAAAGGTTGGCCAATTCTGGATAGAAGTGTCCTAGAGACATGCCGCTGTATTTTGGAGGCAAAAGATGGATTTAAGATATTTTTTTCGGCTATTAAAGACGAGTGGTGTGGACGCTCTGTAACCAGCCTTGTAGTCTTTTACTACTGAGGGTGATATTTTTTATAAAATAGGTCTAAATCCCTTCAAAACCACACACAGCAATGTTAAATAACATCAAGAACACATGATATCAAGGTAAGATGATTTTATTAAATTTTTTTTTTTGTATGCTCTGCTTGGGTTGCCTGTGTAAAAATGCGASAGAAAAGAGTAAAGGACTGGGGCTCCTGTGCAATTGTGACGTCACTAATAGGAAATGAAAACAATGGCCGCCTGCTTTTCGATGTGGTCCAATTTAACAAAGATTTCTTCTGTTTTCTCTCAAAGGAAAATACAAATAAGATTTTTAAATGGCGAATCTCATACACTGCATAGTCCTGTCATGACTCGTGAATGTATAGGATTCTTATCTCCTAAAGATGACGAGGTAAGCTTCGATTGTACATTTTAAGCTAAT